TGTAACATTATCAATGCTTTGGATGTGAAAGTAGGAGGCATGGTTGGTAAATTTGAAGACGACTCCAAAATAGGTGGTGTAGAGGACAGTGATGAAGGTTATTTCAGAGTACAATGGGGCCTTGATCAGACGGACCAATGGGTCAAGGAGTGGCAGATGGAGTTTAATTCAGATAAGTGTTGCATTTTCGTAAGGCAAATCAGGGCTGGACTTATTAAGTTAATTGAAGGACCCTGGAGAGTGTTACCGAATAAAGAGACCTAGGGGTGCAGGTGCATATTTCCTTGAAAGTGGAGTCGCAGTTCGACAGGGTGGTGAAGAACGCATTTGGCACACTTGCCTTCATTGGTCAGAATATTGAGTATCGGAGTTGGGACGCATATTGCAGCTGTACGGGAGGTTGGTCAGGTCACTTTCAGAATACAGCGTACAATTCTGGTCACCCTTCTGTAGGAAGGATGATGTTACGCTTGAGAGTGCAGAAAAGATTTACAGGGATGTTGCCGGAGCTGGAGGGTTTGAGCTATAGGGAGAGAACATAGAACGTAGAACAGTACAGCACAGCACAAGCCCTTCAGCCCATGATGTTGCACCGAACTTTTACCCTAATCCTAAGGTCTATCTAACCTCCACCCCTACCTGATACTATCAATCATATGCCTATCTAATAGCTGCTTAAATGCCCCTAATGAGGCTGACTCCACTACCCTCTCCGGCAATGCATTCCACATCCCGACCACACTCTTGAGTAAAGAACCTTCCTCTGACGTCTCCCCTATATCTACTTCCACTCACTTTAAAACCATGCCCCCTCATAATAGCTACCTCCACCCTAGGAAAAAGTCTCTGGCTGTCCACTCTAACTATACCTCTGGTCATTTTGTACACCTCTATCAAGTCACCTCTCATCGTTCGTCATTCTAAAGAGAAAAGCCCTAGCGCTCTCAACCTTTCCTTGTAAGACCTTCCCTCCATTCCAGGCATCATCCTGATAAATCTCCTCTGCACCTTTTCCAACACCTCCACATCTTTCCTGTAATGAGGCGACCAGAACTGGACACAATACCCCAGATGTGGCCGAACTAGGCTTTTGTATAGCTGGAGCAGAACTTCACGGCTCTTGAACTCAATCCCTCTATTAATGAAAGCTAACACACCATACGCCTTCTTAACAACTCTATCCACCTGGGTGGCAGCTTTCAGGGAACTGTGAACATGAACCCCATGATCCCTCTGCTCCTCCACACTGCCAAGAATCTTCCGTTAACCCTATATTCTGCTTTCAAGTTTGTCCTTCCAAAATGAATCACCTCACACTTTTCAAGGTTAAACTCCATCTGTCACTTCTCAGCCCAGCTTTAGATCCTATCAATGTCCCTTTGAAACCTCGAACAGCCCTCCGCACTGTCCACAACGCGACCCACCTTCGTATCGTCCGCGAACTTGCTAATCCACCCTTTCATTCCTTCATCCAACTCATTTACAAAGATCACAAATAGAAGAGGACCCAGGACAGATCCTTGTGGTACACCACTCGTAACTGAGCACCATGTTGAATATTTTCCGTCCACTTCCACCCTTTGTCTTCTAAGGATCAGCCAATTCTGAATCCAATCTGCCACATTTCCCCCTATCCCATGCCTCCTTACCTTCTGCATGAGCCTACCATGGGTCACCTTATCAAACGCCTTACTTAAATCCATGTATACCACATCCACTGCTCTACCTTCATCCACATGTTTGGTCACCTCTTCAAAGAATTCAATAACGTTTGTGAGGCATGATCTACCCCTCACAAATCCATGCTGACTATCACGCATCAAACTGTGCCTATCCAAGTGATCATAAATCCTATCTCTCAGAGCCCTTTCCAATAATTTGCCCACCACTGATGTAAGACTAACTGGCCTGTAATTTCCGGGGTTATCCCTATTCCCTTTTTTGAACAAGGGAATGACGTTTGCCTCTCTCCAATCTTCCGGCACTATACCTGTGGACAGTGAGGACGAAAAGATCATCGCCAAAGGCCCTGCGATCTCGTCCCTCGCTTCCCATAGAATCCTTGGATAAATCCCATCAACCTCCTCTAGTCTACCTGCCTGTTTCACAATGTCCTCCTCTACAATTAGGTCCCTCTCAGTTGTGAATACTGAAGAAAAGTATTCATTAAGGACCTCTCCTATCTCTTTAGGCTCCGTGCACAAATTCTCTTTACAATCCTTGATCAGCCCTACCCTTTCTCTGGCCATTCTCTTATTCCTCACGTACATGTAAAAAGGCTTGGAGTTTTCCTTGATCCTATCTGCCAAGGTTTTCTCATGCCCCCTTATAGCTCTCCTAAACTCTTTCTTCAGCTCCTTCCTGGATAACTTGTATCCCTCTAGAGCCTTTTCCGTTCCTTGTTTCCTAAACCTTACATAAGCATCCTTCTTCCTCTTAACCAGACGTTCGACCTCTCTTGAGAACCAAGGCTCCCTCACTTGACCACATCTTCCCTGCCTGCTAGGGACAAACATATTGAGCACACGCAGTATGCATTCCTTAAACAATCTCCACATTTCAATAGTGCTGTTCCCTGACAGCATCTGTTCTCAATTTATGTTACACAGTTTTTGCCTAACAGAATTGTAATTACCCTTCACCCCAGTTATAAATCTTACCCTTCTGTATGTACCTATCCTTTTCCATGATTATTGTAAAAGTAACAGAGTTATGATCGCTACCGCCAAAATGCTCTCCTACCAACAGGTCTAACACTTGGCCCGGTTCATTGCCAAGCACCAAATCCAAAGTGGCCTATCCTCGTGTTGGTCAATCTACAAACTGTGTCAGGAATCCTTCCTGAACACACTGGACAAAATCCACTCCTTCTAAGCTATTACAACTAAAATGTTTCCAATCAATATTTGGAAAGTTGAAGTCACCCATGACTACAACCCTGTGACTTCTGTACCTTTCCAGTATCTGCCTCCCAATCCGCTCCTCCACTTCTCTGCAACTATTAGGGGGTCTGTTAAAAAAAACCCCAACAATGTGACTGCTCCTTTCTTGTTTTGGACCTCAACCCAAACTGACTCTGTAGATATATTCTCGAACTGCCTTTCAGTAGCTGCTATACTAGCCCTGACTGGCAATGCCACTCCCCCACCTCTTTTTCCACTCTCCCTATTTCTTTTAAAGCATCTAAATCCCGGAACTTTCAACAACCATTCCTCTCCCTGAGTTACCCAAGTTTCTGTAATGGCCACAACATCGTAGTTCCAAGTACTGACCCATGCTCTAAGTTCATCCACATTATTTCTGATACTTCTAGCATTGAAGTATACACACCTCAAACCATCTCTGCGTCCACAATTACGCTCCATCGACCACATTTCTTTATAAACAACCTCACTCCCTGTTGTGTCCATTGGAAGGCTGAATACCTCATCCTCTGAATTATAAATCCAGTTCCCCACCCCCTGCCAATCTAGTTTAAACCATCCCCAGCATCTCGAGCAAACCTCCCTCCCCGGATATTTGTGCCCTTCCGGTACAGGTGAAACCCGTCCTTACTGTACAGGTCCCACCTTCCCCAGAATGTGCTCCAATTATCCACATAATGGAAGCCCTCCCTCCTACACCAGCCCTGTAGCGACGTGGTTGAATAGTTTGGGGCTTTTTTCTCTGGAGAGTCGGAGGCTGAGGGGTGACCTTGTAGAAATTTATAAAATCTTGAGGGACTTGGACTGAGTGAATATATAAGGTATTTTCCCCATGTCGGGGAGTCCAAAACTAGAGAGCATAGGTTTAAAGTGAAAGAGGAAAGATTTAAAAGAGACCTAAGGGGCATCTTTATAACACAGAGAGTGGTGAGTGTTTGGAATGAGCTACTGGAGGAAGTAATGCAGGCTGGTACAATTACAACATTTAAAAGGCATTTGGATGGGTACAATGTTGAGAGCACAACTGTTCACATTGTACATTAACGATCTGGACAAAGGAACTGAGGGCGTTGTTAGTAAGTTTGCAGACGACACAAAGATAGAAGGAGGGACAGGTAATATTGAAGAGGTGGGGAGACTGCAGAAGTACTTGGACAGGCTAGGAGTGTGTGCAAAGAAGTGGCAGATAGAATACAATGTGGGAAAGTGTGAAGTTATACATTTTGGTAGGAAGAACAGAGGCACAGACTAAATGGGGAAGGCGGCAGGAGAATGAGGTTGAGAAACATAGCAGCCATGATTGTATGATAGAGCAGACTCAATGGGCTGAATGGTCTAAATCTGCTCCTATGTTTTATGGTCTTCATGGGAACTTTTACTGAACAAAGATTTTATTTCTCAATTTTTAAATAGACTTGAAATTCTCACCTGCTTTTATGACATTTGAAACTAAATTCCAACCCAGTAACAACAAAATTGCCTTCCAATTCTTACAGTTACAGTCATTATTGAACTATCTTAGTTGAAATTGTCTGATCTCAGAAGGAGTTGGTGACTGTTTTTATAACTGATCTTGGAAATTTTTGTGTCTGTTTGTGCTAATTGGAGTGGAAAGGATGGAGGAAAGAGGCTGGGGTGGGGGAAGGACGACAGAGGCTGTCACAGCATTAATAATTTAAATTAGGCTGATTTCCTTGAATGGAAATCTTGAGGGACTGTTCCTCAGAGATGCAGTGACTGTACTTTTGCAATCTTTCAATTAATGAATGATCACAGCAGGTCAGACAGCATCCATGGAGAGAGAGTAAGCTAACGTTTCGAGTCTTAGATGCCTCCTCATCACTGTTCTGATGTAGGAATTGAGCCCTGCTCTGATGAAGAGTCATCTAAACTGAAAATGTTAGCTTGCGCTCTCTCCATGGATGCTTCCTGATCCACTGTGATCTCCAGCATTTGTTGTTTTCATTACAGATTCCGGCATCTGCAGTAATTTGCTTGTAGTTAATGAATGATCTTTAATTTGGAATTTATCTTGATGTATTATTTTAAAATGTAAACTTGTTATATTGATTTCAGAATATTGTAGAGATATGCTTAAACCCTGACGAAAACAGTTAACTTCTCAGATACAAAATTCGTAAATCTTTTTCAAAGGAGCTCAGGATTGGGATGAAGACAAAGCTTGGAATACATTCAGAGCCACATGCAGCAGACGGACTGTCCCCAGCTCACTGCGACTATTTTTCTCCAAGTTCTGAAGAAAGATCACAGGACTCAAAATGTTAACTCCACTTCTCTCTCCACAGAAGCAGCCAGACTTGCTGAGGTTCTCCAACAATGTGTTTGTTGCCGATTTCCAGGGTTTATGGCTGCCTTTCTACCCACCGTCCCGCCATCTCTACCTTTCTGTTTCACACACACACGCTCTTTCTGACCTGCCGCCATCCCACCCCTTTACACCAATGACTGCCTCTGGCTGGTAACTTGAACCTTTCCTGAAAATGTCATTCGCTGAAGAGTCAAAAACACGACATTGATTTACCACAAACAGATGCGATGTCATTGCTAACTTTTAAATGCCCTTCAGTGCACCTGATTTAACTCATTCTAAGGTGGAGTGTGTCATTGCTGTACCTGCCTTGTGATATTTGCATTTATGTAGCACCATTCAAAACTTTAATTAAAGACCTTTACGACATCCTAAAGTATTTTTCCAAAGCATAAAGGCAGGAATCTGGAATTCAGTCATTTTGCTTTGTCCTGTGTTACCTGCAGCCTCAGAAAATCCCAATAATAATCAGCTTCTTGAGCTGGTGTGGCCATCAGAAACCAGTGGCTTCTACAGTCCAACCAAATTCTAGGACAGATTTGGTGTTCAGAGATTGTAGCACAAATCTGCTGACACTCATACCTGCAGCTTACAGTCAGCACAGCAATAAGGGGATGGTGTGATTACAGATGCATTGTTGGGTGATGGAGAATGTGCACTGCAACAGTCTGGTGTCCCAATGCAACATTGAGAATGTACTTTGGAAGTATAATTTTTCAAAATCAGTTTCTAGTCCTGTAGTGCAGCATCAGTAACCAGAGGACACAGATTTAAGGGAGTCAGAAAGAGCTTTTTGATGCAGTGAGGTGTGATCTGGGACATGCTGCTTGAAAGGTTCAATAATAACTTTCAGAAGGGACTTGAAGGAATAATAAAAGAGGCATTTACAGGGCTATGGAACAGTGTTGTAGAAGGGGAATTTTAAAAAGTTAGATTAATGGAATGGCTCTTTGAAAGAGTCACAGTCCAAATAGGGAGACAGACAGACGTACAATTAGTATATAAAATGCAGAGTAAGCTGGAGAAATTGCTGTAATTTCATAATTCTGGGTTTAAGGAGGCAACAGGCAGTTACACTGCAGAGCTCTGTACCCCTTCACTAGAGACAATTTACACTCAAAATACAAATGTTGGAACAATTGACTTTTTTTTTAAAGATAGAAAATTTATTCTGATGAAACAGAGCTGAACAGTGCAGAATATCATTCACAAAGGAATTCAGTTTTGAGTATTCAATAAATAGAATGACCATTCTAAAATAAAAAATATCAATTTCAATCTGGCAGATTCTTAACACAAGATAATGTGCGTGATTTTAGTACAGCTAATCTCTGTGAAGAACACCACCCTGATTCCCTGAAGTGTACATCACCAGCATGTGGATCAGAAAATTGACCTTAATGCAACACCTTACTGTTTGCACCCAGCAAATGCACGGCGTTGTCACTTCCTGCAGGTCTGTGTAATGTCCCCGTTCTCTACCTCATTTAATTACTCAGTCTGGACAACAGTGTCAGCAATGACTGAGGCATAGCAAGATCCCAGCCAAGCACACAAGGATGATTGGATGGTGCTAAGACAGGAGCCCCAGAGGGAGTACTGCTCCCTGATCCAATCAGAGTCCCCAAATGGACCAGAATCTTGGGTTTGCACCTTTCATTAATTCACCACCTGGGCTCACTACAGCAGCCAGAGCACTGTAAACATGCATTTACAAAGACAAATAAATAATTGGAGAAATAAAGCACTCAAAACCCTGAGCATTTCCAATTTTACACAAACACATTAGTCATTAAAGCAAAGAACTCACTGATGCAACTTGCTCTACATGAACTGTTGCTAGGGACGCAGGCTATCATCCCATCAACAGCCATTACATTTGCCAGATGATACATATACTTCTCTTGATCAGTCTCAATAGTGACAGACCTGTCCCCACCGGTACTGTACCCCAATGTTATACAGT